CCGGGTCAATAAAATAAAAAGAGAACCCTTAAAAAAAAAAAAAAAAAAAAAAAAAAAAAAAAAAAACAAAACACCAAAAAAAAATCCAACAACAAAAAACAAAAAAACAAAAAAACGAAAGAAAGAAAGAAAGAAAGAAATAAAGAAAGAAAGAAAGAAAGAAGTAACACATGGTATATTAATTAATATTATATTTTGATTTGTGTATATATGAAACTCTTGAAAATGTTTTTTATGGTATTTATCGATTACCTTATCTGGTTCAGCTTAATATTACATGCTTAGTTTATATAATCTTGCCTTAGTTCAACCATTAATCAATCATGGGGTTATTTTCTCATTTAGAAGATTGATAAGGTCAAATCATAGTTTCCATTATTTAACAGATCAGATCTACAGTCAAAGTGATCATTTTGTTATTATTTGTATGCAAGGTTCCTCTAAAACCTTAATTTCTGATCCAAAAACAAAGTAACACTGTTAAAATAAATAACTTTTCTATTTTAATAATATATTAAAAGTAATCACATGTTTATTACATTTAAATCACTAAAGTCTTTGGCTACAGTACCTTCTTAAATATCCAAAGTTTTATTACAGGTGGTACTATATTTTTTATTTTGATTTATCCTCAAATTGGTCATTAATTATTTTGCTTATTATATATAAGTTAATATTTTATATGTTACTAAGATACATTCCCGAATAATATGATTGGAATTGGCCCAAGATAACATGAACAATATGGACAAACAGAGATATAGATTAATTATAAAAATATATCTAATGCATTCAACCACAGAGCAATTCTATATAAATCAATCAAATTAATTATCTTTGCAGTTACTTTGTATACTGTTAGCATTAGTGTTTCCTTTATTTTGCATGTTCATCATTTCCTCTTTAAACTTTTATCCTGTTAGAAAGTATCAACATATTAAATATTAACTTTATTGTGAATGAAAATATTTAAAAGGTCATAGACACTTCAATTCCTTAACTTTTCTTATGGTTGCTGTTTAAAAAGTTTCTATATTTATCATGTGCTTAGAGTAACTCATATTTTGAACAGCAGTATTAACAATATGAGACAAGATTAATTTAAGAGGAATGAAATAGAAATAATTCATTGCTGCTAACTGTGTTTGTGTGTTTGTGTTTTCTTTCAGTCAATCTATTGGATTCAAAAACAATTCAAGGGGAACTGGGCTGGATCTCTTATCCATCACATGGGGTGAGTTAAACTCTGGAAAGAGATATGATTCTGTGCACTGCCTCTCTTAGAGAGTGGAAGAACTTTTTGGTGTGCTTTCTGAAACTCCTGCATTTCATGAAAAAAAGTGTATATATGTATTCAAAATTATGAACTCAACCAGACTAATATTTATGTTCTATGGGACTTTTGAGAAATTTTAACTATTTTTCTCATGAATAATAACAATATCTATTGGCAAAGCAGTGACAGCAGCAGTAGCAGCAGCACTACTATAAAAATTAGTGTGATTAGGTACAAAAAATGTGAATGGATTGAATAAATATTTTAATTATTATTACCATTATTTAGGTGATCTAAGTGTGATCACTCAGTATGTTTTGTGATGTTCCTAGAATAAGTAAAGTTTTAGAACATTTTAAATTTTAACTTATGTAGAAAGTGTGTTATCTGGTGATAGTATCTCCAAAATCATAGGGTAAAATCAATCATGGTGATTATTCCAAATAGGGTACAATTTGTAATCGATAGTGACAACCTATGCTGCCTTCATATTTTGTTTAAAACAACTGTAACATCTTAGATTCATTTTAAACTTGGACTATACTTAGAAAAAAAACTTGTGCATTTACCTTTTAATAATTTTAAATACATTTTGCATTTTATTGAGTTAGGCACAGATTACTAAGATTATGAGATATGGGTCATCTTAGTTCCAGAACTGCTTATTATGAGCCTGTTGCGTGAGAAAATTGTCATTTTCCTTTTTTTTAAGGACAAAAGTCATATCTTTGGGAAATTCTCCTTTTTACAAAACTAATGAATGTTTAAACATACATTTCCCCCCAAGTATAACTTACAGGAAAAGCAAAGTGCTATTTTGAAATATTTGTCATAGGAACAAGTTTATATGTTCTTATTTCTTCCTCAATAGTCCTTTTTTAAAAAGAGATTACCACTCCTTACAGTTAGTGCTGGTGTTCAGCCTAAATGTTTGTGCCTGAGAATAATTTTTACAATACCGCTGCTGCCTCTTCACCAATGGATGTTTTCCATCAGAGTTACTTCATCTATCTGTCATCTTTGAATCTGCTTCTCTTCCTGGCACACCTTGACATTGACAAAACGCCAAAACCTGTAATCGGGCCTCCATGAGTTGCTTTAGAGGGAGAGGATGAAGTAAGCCAGGATTTGGTTTTCCCGTAGTGTAACGGAACGAAATGATTGGAATTGAAGCATAGCCTGCATTGTCGTGAAGAGTGAATCAAACTCAGAATTAGGCTGAAAAACTTGTTTGAAACTAATCAGCCAAATGTCAAGCTTTTTCTTGGTTTTGATTTAAGAAATTCGAGATGTTCTTTACTCCACATGTTAATGTGCCATGAAAAACTTCTGCCTAATGATATAGGAAAAGCAACAACCATCACATTTTACTAGTATATTCAAGCATGTATTTTTTTAAAAGAACAAGAAGTCAATTTATATATCAAATCAACAATCTATTCTATGTTTTCCTTTAAAGAAAGAATAAAGATAACGCATAACTCTATGTTGAGAATTGGGGAAAGTGAAATCCCTTGCTTACTTTCGTAGTTTAATAACAATTTCCATTACTAATCTGAGATTTGTGATAAAACAGTGTTGGCGCTCCTACATCCAGAGACGTGTTGAGTGTGGAGTGTGGGTGTCCAGCACCTAGGTACACACAGTGTGCATGTGCACCGATCCACAGCGTCAACACCTGGAGACTATTAGCGTGCAGACACTCACTCAGCCCCACCCCGGACTTGCCGAACCAGAATCTGCACCTCAACAATATCCATCCTCAAGCAACTCTTAGCACATTAAATTTGAGAGACAGTCTTCAGAGTAATTTATCTCTTGACATTTTCCTTTTCTTGCCCAATTTCCCACCTCCTTTTGACCTAGGAATCTGTTAACTTCTTCAGTCGACAGTTTTCAGTTTCTTCTTTGCCTCACCCTTGCCCTAGAGCTTCCTTCGGGCATTTGGCTTTCTACACAGTGCTTTCCTGTGCTGATTTTGCAGCTGCACCGTTCCTAACTCAGAAGTATAAAATGGTCTAAAAAATCTGGTTTAGCACTCCACGTTTATCATTATAACTTTCAGGGAACAACAACCAAAAAAAAAAAAAAAAAACTCTCTGCAATAGATCATGGAATTTATAATACCTCAAAAACACCCCCTCAAGAAAAAAAAAAGGGAAGGAAAAAAATCAAATATTTGAGTTATGTTATATGGTGTATTTCTGCTGATTTTCTCTTTTATTATGTTAATTGCAATATCTATGAGGAGTAATAGTTCAAATTTAGAAAATATTTTATTGCTGTTCATCTCTTTAGCTAAGCCAATCCAACTGGTGGATGATGAAACTGCAGGGAAAATTTAGGCTGAGAATTTAACATCTTTGCTTGTACAACACATTATACTTTTCGTTTTTGGGGGGTACTGGGGATCAAACTAGGGACCTTGTTCTGGTGAGGCAGGTGGCAGCACCACTGAGCTACATCTCCAGTCCTACATTATGCTTTTGATTCAGCTATTTTTTTTTTATTGCCTAACCTTTTCTCTTCTCAATGTGAAAATAATAGATTAATTTTGTTTGTTTTGTTTATCAAAGAATTACATACTTCAAACAATTATGATGTTTGCTAAAAGCTCTTCCACACCAAAAAAAAAAGGGATATGTCATAGCTGGAAATGATTTTAAACTTTTTACTCTTTTAAGAAATTAACTAATAAAAAGCTATACCTCTGATTGCTAGTTAATAAACATAAAGTAAACTTCAGAGCAAAAATTATAAAAACAATGTTGCAGCATAATGAATTCTTGAAATTCCTGCTCAGTGGTTCTTACCTGTATGAGAGGCAAAGAAGGTAGGCAATTTTGCTTCTTGGGTACTTGTGACAATGCCGGAAGACATCATTACAGTTAGGAGCAGGGCCTACTACTGGGATCTACTGGAAGAGACTAGGGGAATTGCTAAACATAATAATTACAACGGACATGGCAGACTGTACAAGAAAGAGTGACCTACCTCCAAATGACAGTGCCATAGCAGAGAAGCTCTTATGCAAGGGGTTAGCGAAAGTTGTCCATCAGGAACTGCAAAAGTCATAGATACTTGAAAGCTCCTTCTTAACTTCCAGTCGTACTGAAATCAGAAGGAAGCTCTAATTCTAAACTATTGTAATGTAAATTTTCCAAAAAATGGAACCTTGTAACTATTGCACTGTATAAAATTAACATGCTTGGAAAAATGGCTAAGAATGACTCATTTCTTCATGTATATTTTTTTCTGTTTCTTTTTCTTTTTCCCAATAATATATTTAAACTAAAACTTCACAATTAAGCTATGTCATTTTCTTATGCAAAGATTATCCCCCCCCCTCTCCATTCATTCATTCATTCATTTTTTTGTGCATTTGCGTAGTTCTGAGGATCAAGCTAGATAAGTGTTTCACCTCTAGGCCACACCCTCAGAATTTTATCTCCAGTTTTAAATGGTGCTTCAAATTATAAAGAAATCCTGGTAGAAAAATATAGCTATATATGCATATATGAGACATGGTTATAAAATACAGTGAATGCTTAATTCTTTTTTATAATATATATCACAGCAGAGGCACTTGCCTCTTGGGTAGTGTACTCTAGCACAGACAATTTATCTAAAGTGTACCTTGTCTTAGTACAGTCATCTTACCTGTTTTATACATTCTTTAGCCTGTTAGTCTTGTTTTTAATCTGTATATATGATAACTCACTCTATGAGGTCTTATAAATACATTAATCTGATACTGGAAAAATTGGATGAGGGTGAAGGGAAGAGGGAAAGAGGGTTGAAATGTGTTATGTGCATGCACCAATTCCTCATAGTGAATGTAATCATTGTGTACTGCAAACATGTACTAATACAAGTCAAAAAATAAAGTAAAAAAGGCAACAGCAAAAAACCAAAGGCATTGTCATTAATCCCCTGGAAAATATTCCCTTTTGCTTTGATCATATACATCCTATATTTCTCAGTTTTTTCTGAGACAGTTCTGGAAGTTCTCTCTCTTGAGAGTCTTTGCATTGCCTTGGCTCCCTCAGGTTCCTGAATTGATTCAAAATATTTATCTTCTGTGGTCATTTTGACTTTAGATTCCAGATCTAATAAATAAGGTAGATGATAGATGATGGTGTACTACTTTGTTTTGGTGACCCTGCCTTTCTATTGGACAGTATACAGCAGTAGCATTCACTAAATTTTGATCATACCTCATAGACTCTCCTAAAAGAGGACTTCCAGAATTGCTTCAGAAAGTGACAAGAATAATGACATATGAGAGTCTGAAGTGAGAGGTAGTATTTTGAAGGGGATTAGTGGCAACTTGTCTTTTGTAGCAATAATTTTTTCTAAAATTTAAATATTCAGTGTATATTTTGATCATGTAGTAGGCCAGGAACAATTCTTTTTTTTAATTTGGGAAGAAATTTAATAAAATTTGTTTTTCTCTAAGTGAAGGTTGTGAAACTAATATTTAAACTTGGAGGGGCCAGGGATTTAGCTCAGTGGTTCCACCACATGCCTCACAAGCTCAAGGACCCGAGTTCAATCCCCAGTACCTAAAAAAAAAAAAAAAAAAAAAGATTAAATTTGGAAACTGAAACTGTCTCAGAGATCATCCACTGCAATTCATTTTTCAATGAATCATATTTGACACATTTTCTGACACTGTTCATTTTTGTAAAGCAGTCAGAAATAATTATATTTCCTACCTCTCTAGACTATGAATTACATCTATGCATTGTAAACTTACGTTCAAAATTTCAGCAAATAATTTCAACATCTTTGAATTATGTGGCAACCTATACTTGTTGTTGGATTACAATCTATGAAGAACTTCTTTGGCTACACAATAATATATATTTAAATTGATTAGTTGTTTGCTTAAGTCGATCTGCTTAGTAAACTTTCCTACTTTATATATCATTACACAGGAAAGAGCCAAGAGAAGT